CTTCAATCAGCACTTGCAAGCCACCGGCCTACATGACATGGACTGACCGGCCGGTTCAAGCTGGACACCTGCAACATGGGCAGCCTGTCAGGGCCCCTAGCCTCTACCAGGTCAATGCGGTTGAGCTGGGGCACTCCAGCTCCGAACAAGAGTAACCAGCAGGCTAGAGGGACATCATTATGCAATGGACTCCCACCTCAAGCCGGGACCTCAGACTGTCAGATGGTTGCAGGATAGTAGCAGGAATGAATGCACAACTGCAAGAATTGCTCTGCGCACGCATATCGCGACGCTCAGCATGAAATCCAGCACAATCAGGCGTGGGGTGCTGGCTTCGGCCCCCTCACCTAGGATCACCTGTACATGTGCTCCGCCTGCAGCACACGAAGTCAACTCAAAGGCAAACATGCAACATAGCATCGCCAAGCCAGGTACCTGGAGGTCCACCGACGACTTTATCTTCAAGACTGGGCCCCGGAGGACCGATGCCGCTGCATGCACCTACGCCTGCATCTTGCTGCGCCATGTGAATCATGCCGAAGACAAGCACAACATGATGAAGCACGCTGCTCCGGCTGCTCAGCTGCGCTCTCGCCTGGCTGCCAGTTCTCATTGCTGTCCTCGGTGTGGGCCTGCCAGTCGGAGCATTGCCACCAGTCCTGCTTCCACCAGGCGTCATCGTCCCTCCATGACCATTCATTGCTGGGTTCATGGCTTGGATCCTCATAGGACCAGTCGTGTCCCCAGTTTCTGTCGGCCCTATTACATCTCGAGCTGCTTCTAGCCCCACTAGGGCCTGAGGACCAGGCATCTGGTCTCCAGTTTGTTTCGGCCCTGTTGGACCTTGAGCTGCTTCTCGCCACACTTGGGCCTAAGGGCCAGGCCCGTCCCCAGTTTCTGTCTGGATCTGAGCGCGAATCGCTTCCAGCTGCTTTGGGGCCGGAGGCCGGTCTCCCAGACGGGGAGTGTTCTCCGCCCTTGCCTGCCCAATAGCCAGTGCCTTCTCGCTTGGCTTTACGCCTGGCTTCTATCTCCGCCTGTGTACGGCGTCTTGCGCCGTCAGCTCTGACTCTGGAGCGTGGATAGCGCTTTGGCTTGGCCTCGGCCTGGCCGGTTGCCCTTCAGGCGGTGCAGGAGCGTCTTCACCAGCTTCGGCCATCAGGAGCATCGGCGCATGGCATGGAGAGGCACGCAATGCAGCTTATATGCGGTCCTAGTGGGCAATGCGCACACCTGTTTAGAGAAGAGCCTATCCTTGGAAAAGTGCAGGGGCTCGGTTCGAGACAACCCGTCGGCGAGCGCAACCGTAATGGCTTTTCTGCGCGAGGCGACGAGATTGAAGTGGCAAGCCGGCCACCCATCGCTCCCCTGAGCTCAGCTGGGTCGACCTCCACGGTCCGCGTTGCCAGGCAAGATAAAGACGTGATGGTGTCAGGGGAGCCGACCAAGAGGTCGAACCGGCCGAAGGAGGCCATCGTCCGCAAATGGCGAGAATGGATCCTTCTGCAGCAACGGCGGAAGGATCTACGGGCGGCCGGTGCCGCCGACCTCCTGGCAGATCACGTCGCCCGCGGACACTTCGTGAGTCGACACTCTGATTTCCACCAGCGCCCAAAGTGTCGTGAGGGCGTCCACGTGGACGACCTACGGCGCGTGCATTGAAACATGGATATTCCGTATCTCCCAGACACAGGATTTCGAGAACATCATGCGCATGCTTGTACAGGCGATCAAGGTCCTGCAGAGCCTAATGGAGGAGCTGCCATCCTCAATGCATGAGGCAGTGGTACGGAGTCCGCTCTGCAAACCCTTCTGCAAGAGTACTACCCGTACCCGGACTCAGGCATTGACGATGCAATGGGCGATCAGAACCTGGACCCCATAGATATCTCTGACACGTCTGGCAGCCAGGAGGAGGACGGCCCCATGGAACCGGCCTCGAGCAGCACTGTCCCCCTGACTGACAGGAACAGAGATCACAGAAGTGCACACAATGACACCGACGAGGTCCCAAAGCCTCTGAGCCCTGACCAGCAGAGATGGTGTCGAAACGTCTCTCAGTAGTTCTCCGCCACGACCAAGGGGAATTCCAACTGAGGTTTGACGAAAGAGCGCTCGTCCCTCTGGAAGACGTCTTGCAGCTGCCAATCATGCGCAACAAGAGGATCGACAGAAGGCAGATCATGTCGGCCATCTACCACAACGACAAACAACGCTTTCGGGCCGTGATCAAAGCAGGCAAAACCTTCATAGGAGCCAATCAAGGTCACTCCTTCAAGATCGATCCGGACAGTGTGCACACCTACACCCCGACAGAGGAGATGCCAAGCCTGGTTCATGGCACGCGCTACGATTTTTTGCAGAGTATTCTTCAGCACAGGATCCGACCGGGCGGGGTGAAGGCCACAGACAAATGGTACATTGTTTGCCGGATAGCCCCTCGTCGGCCAAGTTCTACCCGCCAGGCGTGGATGTCGTGCTCCACATCTCACCACAGAAAGCGGATGCCAAATGGTACAGGTCAGCCAACGGCTACTACATGACCAGCGAGACTGTACCGGCCAAAGCTATCGTCATGGTGTCGGTAGTTGGGTCATCCGAAG